CTGAAATCCTTGACAACTTTAATCTTTTCTCCTTTATCATAATATTGCTTATTGGTCCAGTTATAAGGATTTTTATTTTCTTTAAAGATGCAATTACACATCAAGTCTTAACAACTAAACCACCAAAAAGTCAACTGCATCTATTCTTTCATTTCTATCCCCACAGCTTTCAGTTTTTTATTATCTCTGGCCTAGATTTTTATCAGCTTATTTGCCTCTGTAACCAGTGTTTTCCTAAGGCAATGTGTTCTCTATAACCCTGATGCAAACTCATGGCACTTATTTTCTCAAAATTCCTCAATGACTCTCTACTACTTTAAGAATAAATAAATACTACTCCTTAGCTTTCTTCATCTATGCTCAGCCTCACTTTCTGCCAATGTTCTTCTCTCACTCTGTGCTCCAGTCATGGGGAATAATATAGTTGCAGTGAATTGCTTGATGTGGCCGTTCTAGCCACCGTCCTCCATTTGGTGATGTGTTGTAAATCTTATTATCCATGTCTGTTTGGGGTGGTGTAGTAGTTAAGGTCGGGTGTCAATTTGGCTGGGCAGCTAGCAGTAGTCATTTCCCTAAAATGACTGGCAATTGGCTCTGTGGTGGGATTTGCCGTGAGCAACTGAGTAGCTGCTGGTTGTTAAAACCATCCACTTGGGTTACTTTTGTTGGAGCAACACAGGTGGAATAGATCTTGAGTGCTGCCTTGCTGGTGGGTATAACTCAAATCAACACCCTTACCTTCCTTGAGGGTATACCTATGAATCTCCTGGGAAGGTTCGCCCTCCTCTTGCTCTGGTTCTGTGTTTTGGCTCATCGTCATTTCATCCCTGGATTTGGGATGGCAGCCATCATCTGATCTGCTGATCGAGGTTCATCAAACCCCGAGAACTGGGAGGATCCTCCAGACCTACTCACAGACCTGCCACTTGCCAGCTTCCCAGCCTCTACCACCACTACGTGAGATGATCCCTTGGGTGTCTGTGAGCTCTGTGAGGCGTTACAGTGAAATACAGAACCCTAAGACAGGGGAGATTACTGAGAGGGGGAGTTAAAATCTGAAATGATGGAGTGGCACAGTAGTTTGGACATTTGGACATCTTTAACCTCCCCCTCATAGGGACCAGGCTTGTGCTAATCTTTCTAAGAGAAATCGTTCAAGCAATAGTATAATCTCCTTTTCCCTCTCTGGTTTTTCCACTATATTATGTGCTCCTTAAGGAGCTCTGGTGGTGTAGTGGATAAGGCATTTGGCTGCTAACTAGAAGGTCAGTGGTTCAAACCCACCAGCCACCCCATGGAAGGAAGATGAGCCAATATACTTCTGTAAAGATTTATAGCCTTGGAAACCCAATGGGGATCGCTGAGTCAGAAGTGACTCGATGGCAGTGAGTTTGGTTTTTGTTTTGAGTATGTGCTCCTTGAAGCAGAATCCATGTCTTCCACCTAACACAAAGTTTCACTGATTCATCCTCATAATTACTTCTGCAACGTGTCCTCTCACTGTCTACTGACACTGCCTTGGTTTAGAGCCTTCATAACTTCACCTGGACTACTACTGTATCTCCTAACTGGCCTCTCTTTTGCCTTCTACCTCATTGATAACATTGAAGAGTCAATACAAAATTAGCAAAGTCAGAAATTTGCTTAACATCTTTGAATGACTCCCTCATAACCTCCAACCTTTCAGTTAGTAGCCAGTGCATTAAACATTTGCACCAAGTTCTGGTGATGTAGTGCCTAAGGCATTTGACTGCTAACCAGAAGGCTGGTGGTTCAAACCCATCAGCCACTCCTCAGAAGGAAGACTGGGCAATCTACTTCCACAGAGATACTGCTTTGGAAATCCAATGACCGCTATGAATCGGATCTGACTTGATGGCAGTCAGTTTGAGTTTTGAGGAACTAATTACCTGCATGTGCTCCCTAAAGGAGCCTTGATGGCACAATGATTAAACGCTTGGCTGCTAACAGAAAGGTTGGAAGTTCAAAGCCACCAGTCACTGTGCAGGATAAAAGACTTGGTGATCTGATCCTGTAAAGACGTATAGTCTAGGAAACCCTATGGGGCACTTCTCCTCTGCCGATAAGGTTGCTATGAGTCAGAATTGAATTGATGGTATACAACAGCAATAACAACAATGTAGCTCCTAATGAAGCCACTGTCTCATGTAGCCAAGTGTCTGTAAATACTAGTGTCTCTGCTTGAGAAACCTTCCCTCCTTTGCCTGGTTATATTCCATGCGCATTCCATCTCATCAGTGCTACCATAGTAACCTGAGCATACTTCCACCACATTGCGTGATAACCAGGTGTACTTACTTATTTGTCTCCCTCATGAGATTAGAAGCAATGTGATCCTTGGAGCTCTTTGTGTGCATGTGTGTGAGAGGGAGAAAGAGATGGGATATATATGTGTGTATTTCTCTCTCTACACACACATACATATACACACATACACATTAATCTCTGTATATCAATACTTTAGCTCAAGGCAAGAAACATTTTTAAAATGTTTTCAGAGCTAAACTCCTTAAGCTTATTAAGAGCCTATTAATCTCTCTCTTCTCCAATCTCTCCTTTCTGCTAAAAGCATAATAGTTCTTAATGAAAGATTTAATGAACTAATAATACTCCTGATTATATATCTTCAAATCTTATTCTATCTTTCATTAATCCACTCACCACACATCCAGTCAATAGTTGTTAAGTGACAGGCACAGTGGTATTTGCTGAGATACAAAATAAAATAAAAATAAAAATAAGAAACAACAAACCACCCAGGGCTTTAACTTTGTTGTTGTTGTTGTTATGTGCCATCGAGTCGGACCCGACTCATAGAGACCCCTCCTTGGGTTTCCAAGGCAGTATCACTAGGGAAGTAGATTGCCCTATTGTCCTTCCGAGGGGCTTTAACTTAGTGATGTGAAAACACATATTTAAAAAGTCAGTTGCAACACAGTGTGCTAAGGGGACCCAAGGGCAAAGAGGAGTAAAGGAGCATCTAAAATTGGCCAGAGGCACTCAGCCTACTGCTGCAAAGATGACACAGTAATGCATACAACAGAACCAAATTTAATCAAGCCACTGCCCCCAGAATGGGGACAGCTCAAATATGGTTTATTAATGATTAAGTCATAAAGCTTTAGGACCAGACAGTACATTTGAAGACAGGCTACAAAACGTCCCCCAGGGCCACTGTGTAAAGTTCACAGGAGCCCTGCAGTCCTCAATGTGTATGTCATAAACACCATGGCAACAGACACTGTGTTCAGAGAACAAAGTTCCTCCTCCCTCCTCAATTTCCCACATTCTTAAATGTTGTGAAGTCTTTTCAACCTTTGTCACCAAGGGTTTTTTCAAATTGTCACTTATAACACAGTTTCCTAAGTCTTTTCTCTTGGTTCCTTTCTACTACATGTGCAGAGTGTGATTCTGTCAATGCCAGAAAAGTGTGTATTCCCTTACAATCACGTTTCTGTTTCTATTTGATGGGAAAGTTTTGTTTCTTTTTTCTCTCTCTCCTTTTGAGCTAAATAAGTTTATTTTCTGTTCATTTGTCCACTGCTCATACAAGAGCAGTAATGCTCTAGGAAGAAAATTAAAATATACAATACTTAATTGGCTATAGAATAAATAAAAACAAGGGTTATCCCTTTTGCTATGCCACAGAAAATTTTAATTTTGACAGACTTAAAAATATTATACAATGCTTTTACTGAGGAAGAAAATTTGCCTAGGTACTTTCTACTTTGTTAATATTATTAAGGGGAAAAATATGGTACTCATTGGACAATAAGGAAGACTGAGAATGACAGTAAAAAAGAAATTTTACTTTAATTTTCCTACCTTCTTCATGTAGTGAAATAGTAAGTAGACATTTGTCAAAGTTATCTATTTCTATTATAGAAATAACAAAAGTGGGTGGCTTTAACAAACAGAGAAAATTTCTTTTCTCATTTAGAAGGCCAGGAGTTCAAATTGAGAGTGCTAGATCTAGGGCAAAGCTTTCTAGCTGTGTAGGCTCTGGAGGAAGGTCATTGTTTTTCACCTTTCTGCTTCCTGGTCCCTTGGACATCTCCATTTGGCTTGGCATCTTAACCCATCTCTCCTCTGCTCCCCTGTTTAATCTCTTTTATATCTCAAATGAAAGTGACTCAAGATATACCCTACACCAATCCTGGCTCATTAATATAACAAAGACAACCCACTCTCAAATAGGGTTATAACCACAGGCATAGAGATTAGGATTTAAAACACTTATTTTTGGCAGACACAGTTCAACTCATAACAAAGTTTTATTAAATTATAACTGTAAGGTTATTATTTGCACACGCATTCATAGCAAAGCATTTCATGAAAAAATTAAGTGCCTCCCCCACACAATATAAGAACTATATAACTGCTTGATAGAAAATCAAGAAAAAAAAGCCTTTTATATTATGATTATTATAGGTAATTTTACCTGGAATAATTCTTATGAAAGCAAACACCTATAAAGTGAACTTCTGAGTACAAAAACCTATTTCTATGTATTAATGGATGGTCCATAAGGCTTGGTTAGTTTAGAAATCAGAAATTCTCAACTATCCCCTCAAAAATAAAATAGTAGGAATGTGTAGAAAAATGGTGCATCAAACACATACTGATTTACCTAATAAGCACGCAAAAGAGAGGATGACTATTAGTTCTATTTTGTTTTTAATTAATTTAATAATGTATTCAATTCATTTACCTTAAGTGCAGTCATATAACATGTGTACACATATGTGTAAAATTTATTACCCTAGTCGTAGCAGAAAGTCCTCTTTCAGGTATATTTGGAAAGAATGTTATGTTTTGCAATGCCTTAATAGAACTAAGTTTCATTCTCTTCAGTTTGAATCATTTAATTTGAATTTAGGAAATTATAAAAATGATTAAACATCACTTTCACTTGAATCTTTGATAGCTGCCACAATATAAATGGTGATTTGTCTATGAATACAAAACAATGATCTTACCTGAATGTTGTCATAGAATAGAACATCAGGCACTTTCATTTTCTCATGGGCATTATGTATCGGTGCAGTGACAGTTCCAATCCTCAGAGAGCCCGATGCTACCTCACCTAAACATTTCACACAAGACAGAGAATTACTCCTAGCACTGTCCACAGAGAATCCACTCCACCAAACACAGAATGCAATGCAGCATCCATAATACTTAATGAGCTCTTCAAGGATTTTTAATTTAATTTCTGACAGAAGTTTGAAGGTGGTCATAAAAACACTGTAGCTCTACGTACAGCCTAAAACCTCCAAAATGCAGAAAATTTATTTACATATAAATAGCAAACAGCATAGAGATAAAAATTGAGAGGAAAAAAAAAACAAGAACTTAGTTAAACCACCTTCATGATTGTGTTTGGTCAATTTGTAATACATAATAAAGCAAATATGCATCCACAATCTCTGAAGTACCTTGATTATAATGTGTTAGGGCCTACACATTGAAAACCTTCACATGAGAATCCCCTAAAGCTCTGTCAGAAATAGAGATGAACCAACTCACCCCAACCTCTCAAAGTACTATCTTCAGTGACAGTCTAGGAAACTTATATTTTCAAGTAAGCACCTAAGATGATTTTGGCATCCAGTTAGATTGTGGACCTCAGTCCCACATAATTTGTAATCATCCTTATTGTACTGTTCTCTATCTGCTTTAAATGGGTTGGTCTAGAGGAGATTAATGGTTCCTTAAAGTGAGGAAACTAAAAAACAAATTCATTAAATTCAAGGAACATATACCAAAAACTTAAAAATACAAAATGTCCCATGTATTTCCAATAGTAACCAGGCACTTATGTTCACTGTCTGATATGTTCCAAGGTCATAATAACAGTTGTGTTGTTGTTGTTGTTGTTGTTGTTGTTATGTGCCGTCGAGTCAGCCCCGACTCATAGCGACCCCTCCTTGGGTTTCTGAGGCGAAATAGTAGTAGTAATTATAAAATTGATGATCACAATAATAAAAGCTATCATGCACTGAAGACCTTCCATAGCCAAGTCCCAAACTAGGTACTTCATCTCATTTTTCTCTCATATAGTTTCATGTAATTTTCTTAACAATGCAATAAGAATTACTAGGAAACCAGAAGAATATAAATTCAGTAGTTCAGTTAAAATCACCTAGTCAGTATGAGTGAAGCTCAAAACAGAACTGAATAAAGTCTGACATTTTCTACCATGTGAGGTGTGTTCAATCCTTTGACTCCAAATAATATTCCATCCTGTGCACATATGCTAAGAAGCAGATCACTAATCACAATATCTTAAATTATTTACCACCTCTTTTTTCCTACTTCAAATATGGAAATTGCAGTTTGTTTCTCTTCTGGAATTTGTGCATGTGTATGTGTGCTAGAGTATTGTGAAAGACAAAGGGGAAAAACAACATTTGCCTCTTTGGAGTAGCATGAACACTTTTGAGCTAAAAATAATTTAACTGTCACCCTGTTTAATCACTGCTGAGTGCTGAACACTTTGTCAAAGCGCAGTAGATCTTAACAGTAAACTCTCCCTCCAACAGATCCCTGCCATTTTCCTTTTTATTCACAAGTTCCATAGGGGAGAAAAACCATGAGCTGTCATGCTGAGATTTCACTATGTATTTACTACCATCAGAACTCTGAAGCGATCCCAATACAAACCTGTGAAGGAGAAGAGCAAGCGTGTGGAGAATGTGACAGTGAGATGACTATACACTTGCATGCTGAGAAGACATGGAATTTCAGGTTCAAAACAGCATCTGATATAATCGATATAATCTACAGCTTATTTTATAGAATATATCCATTAGATTTAGGGTAGTACCCAAAAAAACCAAATTCACTGCCGTCAAGTCGGATCTGACTCATACCAACCCCTCCTTGGGTTTTCGAGGCGGTATTTCTATGGAAGTAGATTGTCCAGTCTTCCTTCTGAGGAGTGATTGATGGGTTTGAACTGCCAGCCTTCCAGTTAGCAGTCAAATGCCTTAAGAAAATTTAATTCAATAAATCAATATTTATTGTCAAAAATCTCAACTAGAAAAGAGAAAATCAGTCAGAGAATGATGATGCTAGTACAGTATATCCCTGGGAGAAAACTGATAAACTATTTCTCAAGAAATCTCACAGGATGGCATCAATTTGATAAACATGTCAAGGTTCTTAGCCTGACAAGTTCAAAACTTGATTTTCTCCTCAGAAGTGAGTGCTAATCTAACTTCTAACTTGAAGGAGGATATTATAGACAGGTATATAAACCAGAATTGGAAAATATTAATTTGCAATGAACACTGCAACTTTCATATGGACATTATTTGTCATAATCAGCATATCTGTGTTTGAAGGAACTTGCATAGAGAGCAAAATCTTCATCAGAAGGTTGCTTGGTGAGCATGGACTTTAAACAAGGAGAGTGATTAAATGCATTAAATACTTAAGCCATCAGACTAACAATTGTCCACAAGATGACTGACATATAAGACAAGTGGAACCTGTGGTGTAGTAAATTACTTAGTGTGGCTTTTCTACCCATAAGTCTTTGTAAACTCCAAGGTGAGATTTTCTATGAGCAACTGAGGAGCTCCTGATTGCTGAAGTTGTCCACCTGGAGTATTTCTGTTGGGAGTGCCACAAAACAATGTTCTGGGAGGTGCCCACTCTCTCTCAGGTGCTTAGAGTTCTGATACTATGATTGGCTAGTTTGACCACCCTGCCGGGCTCAAAAGGAGACCTCCTAGAGGCAGAACTCTCTCAGACTGCTGGTTGAGGAAGACGTGCTGCTGAAAGACACATGGGCTCCTGACACACATGTTGCTGGGAAAAAGACACAAGAGACACACATCGCTGAGTGAGACACCAAGGGAACAGTGCTGCTGGGAAAGAGACTGTGAGAGACTGTTGGCTGAGGGATGTTGGGCTGAGAGAGAGACTGAGCATTTTTTTCCAGAACTTGAATTGTAGCCTGTGATGCTTCCCTAACAAACCCCATAATCTGTGAGCTCTGTGTGGCCACTGCAGCGAATTATCAAACCCAAGAGAGAGGTGGTGGGTGCTTTGGGAGGAACGGTTGGTGAAAGAGCTGGAGGGAGGCAGCATGTCTGGTCTTGCAGTAATAGGCCTTGGGTTACTGCTGGTAATCCTGCCTTCCTCTTGTGGGATTAGAGGAGGTCAGAACATGTGGCCTTCGTGCCGTTTTTGCAGAACGAGATGAGTAAAAAGTCTCTTAACTTACATTCCTTATACCCTACACAAGGCTTAGATGTTTAGCCAGCTTCCAAGACGGTTTCCAAAACTGATCTACAGTTTGAATGACACAGTCTTTCTCTGGATATTCTAAGAGGTTTATTTCAGTAACATAACAGTGCACAAACCTTTTGAGTTTCCTCTACATAAATGTACTCAGATTCATCAATATGTTGAGTCATAATTTTACTCTAAAAAAGACATCTTATTTCCTTAATACCAAATTCTTAAGTCAGTGTAGCCACTACTCCTACCAAAATCTACTACAAAACAGAATCACAATGATCCTCTTCAGAAAACTGTCATAGATTGGATATTTTTATTTTTTAAAAAAGGCAAATACCTAACAAAATAAAGAACACATTCATTGTGCTCTAATTGAAGAATCAAAAACTTCTGTAGAAAGAAAGAAAGCTATCTTTCCACGACTCAAAATTAGGCTTCTCCATCAAGAAGAAAGGTACTGGTTCTGGTAAGATGGCAGAATAGCCAGACAAACTACACAGACTGTCTTCAACAAAGAACAGAGAAACCAACTGACACAGATACAGAAGGTAATCCTGGAGCCCTGAGCTTTGAAAGGAAGGATACAGAAGTGGACTAAACTCCAACTAGTAGAAGAACCTGCATGAAAATACTGAATAAGGAGACAAATGGAGCTATGGACTGTCAGCAATCCTGACAGCACAGACAGTTTGGATATTTCCAAGTGGTGTTAGGACCTAAGAATTAACATAAAAATCAGTCCTGCTCACCAAGGACTGAAAGGAGGACTACACTGGTGGCTGATGAATGAAAAGGTAAACAGCAAAGAAGGCAACAAACTGAGTTGTGGACTTGTGGCTGTCCAGAGGGTGCACCATTTTGAATGTTTACAAGCGGTTCAACCATTTTAGATAAAAGCCACAACGTTCTCTCAGATTCCAGGGATCTAAGAATAGGCTCCACTTACTGAGCACATACCAGAGGCTGAGGACTGGAGAGATGCAGTATTACCCTTGTTACTTATATACCCACACCTTCTTAGTGAACGGAGGTGCGGCCATCCCTTACTCCCACCAACAGGAAATTCCATCCCAGTCTGTGTACTCTCATGGAGCATGGGTGACTCATATTTCTTTTGTCTTTTAAAAGTATTTCTTTAAATATTTCGTCTCATTTATTGCCTTTCCTCTCTCTTTTTTTTTCCCTTTATCTTTTTGGTGATTATTCCTGTGTGTTTATGTAGTGTTTGTTTATTTGTCCTTTTGGTCTTACTTTTTTGTGGTTTTTCAATTCTTGTTTTTGACTAACTGAGCGGGAGAGAGTAATTGTGACCATGCAACCCAATCATACCCCCCACGTCTTCTGCAGGCCCACCAATTGAGTAACAGCCACCACTTGCTTCTGCACCAACTGGCCAACAATACATGACAGCCAATACAAACCTTTAACTGCTCTTCACAAATAGTTAACAGAGATCTGTGCAGCCACTCTCATACTCTATTACACCCACCAGGAGACAAGTGTTGAGTGCATAAGTACTGCCAATTAGTGAATAAAGGAGCATAGTACACTGTTTACATAGATACATCCAAACAAAACAAAGAAAATGAAAATCTTGGGTGAATCACTCCAACGTACAATCACCAATTAAATATAAATACAACAATGTCACAATGTCTCAGAGACGACTGAGCATCACAATCCACACAAAGAAGCAAGACAAAGCAGTACAAACAAGGGACCAGGATATGGACCCAGAACACATCTTGGAGGAAACAGCAGAACTGGAACTCCCTGATAAGGAATTCAAAAGAACTATATTTAGGTACCTTCAATGGATTGAGACACAGATCA